TTTATCCTCTTGGGGGTGGAATTGATCAAAATCCTTTCTTAGCGGATGCCTATGTCATAACATCTACCTGCATGCCAAATTTCAGCCCGATCCGTCCAGTGGTTTGGGCTGTGCGTTGATAGATCACTATGGCAGTCAGTCACCTTTGAGTTTTATATATATAGATATTTGTTACGTCACCGTAAACTGACGATATGAGATGTTGTTGGGATTGCACTATACAACATAATTCAGGCGTCAGAATAAGTTTTCCTTGGTGTAGCAGTGGAAAGGTACCTTCACCAATCCTTAATAATATATCAGAAAACTCACGATCATCCGGGTTATCTCCAGTTCTCACTCGCATGTTTATAGTCAAATGCACCGATTGTATATCACGCCACAAATAAGAGCTTTTCAGGCAAGCCCTAACCTCATCAGCTCGGGTTCCCCGTGGTATTGTTTGTCGGAAATCACCACAAAATTAAACTGTGATACCGCCCATTGGTCGATCATTTTGTCTTATCCGTTACACAAAAATAAATCCTTATAGCAGGATTCAGTATTCACGTGCGACGACGCGATGGCTTATTTCATGTATTAGTTTGGTGTTTGTATACCGATTTCTATAATTCTTTTTTTATTGAATAGGTAATAATGTTAACTTTTTTAAATTAGGGATGAGTGACAGTATTATAAATGTAAGAGTAAACAAATATAATCAGAATACTCCGAACTGTTAAGCTATCAGTAGTTACACGTGTTATTGTAAGTCAACCATAAAAGATAGACATATGCTGTTGCGGGATATTTTTTAGAAAATTTTATGTAGAATATTTTCGTCATACATAATTTCTATGTAACTTTATTTTTATATACCATTTTTTTGTATACCATCAAGGCTGCGCACGCGACGGAAGCTTAAAAAATGGAGTAACATCTCCCGTTTTCCCAACATTTCCCTTCATTACTCTGCTCCTATTGATTGTAGCGTGATGAAAAGTATACTATAACCTGCCCAGGAGTATGAAGAATAATTGTACCAAGTTTCGTTAAAATCCGTCGAGTAGTTTTTGTTTCTATAAGGAACATACACACAGACAGACAGACAGACAGACAGACAAAAATTTTACTGATTGCATTTTTGGCATCAGTATTGATCACTAATCACCCCCTGATAGTTATTTTGAAAATATATTTCATGTACAGAATTGACCCCTCTACAGATTTATTATAAGTATAGATAATAGATAGCATCTCATGAATAAAGCAGTATAGTGCAGACTCATCCCCGCTGGCAGCACCCGTTCACGAGTATGACGCATGAACCAGCCATCGCTTCTCTCAACCATATTTTAGGGAAGGCAACAACCCGCCTCACTTGTGTGAGGTGTTGAATGATATACCACCGAAGAGATTTTTAAGAGAGTATGACTACACATAACCATCTATACCAAACTTCAACATAATGTATATTATTAAAATAAAAATCATTTATGATTTTTAGAAACTGATGAAAGAACACTGTAATCAATTACGAAAATAAAGTTACCTAATACAGGAGACGGCTCACCAATAAATCGTAATGAATATTAAACTATCTTACTCAATTAAGATAATTGAATAGTCAAACTAATCATAAGAATACCGTATCATACAGTTTAAATACAAAATTGAATATAAAACTCTGTTTTTAACTTTACAGATAGGTACTCCAAAAGCGCAGAGGAAATGGGTGAACATTGGTATTTACAATGCAAAATTAAATATAGGATGCTCTCCAGCTTAGACTACATTCATACGCACGCGAACGTGGTCAAAGTAATAAAATCTATTATCGAAAAGGACAAACAGGTAAAATATCTATATATATCTGCTTCTTCGGACTCAGACTTTTAGATTTTTGAGTTTTTTCCTCTATTTCTACTTTCGTTTCTTTTAAACTTTTTTGACAATAATACATATACCCATGGATAAATGATTGGTCTCGCTTCTCGAGTGAAGCGAGACCAATCATTCATCTATGCATATACCTTTATATAACGTGTTCTTTCATAGAATGAACGAGTGGAGGTGGAGGCGATTGTCACCTACCTATGTAAGTAGGTATGTATATAATTCGTTAAACAATTATTTTAACAATTATCTTTATTGTGATTATAATAGAGCAATGATGTAAACTCCGGAAAGTTTGTCATTTCTTGAATAGGGTCCCATCCAACAAATACTTGGTAAGGTTGGACATCCAAAAATTAAAGCTTTATATAACTAGAAAAAATCCACGCGGTCCAGACAGCAGACGGGAGTCGAACCCGCTATCCGGGTGAATGCACTGACCAATTATGCTACCGCGGCCCTGATGGCCGCGTCGAAATTCTTCTAGCCATTCTTAAGCTGCAATGCAGCGCCATCTCTTCGCATTGTAGGTAACTCACAAAGTCAAATGAATACTCGCGACCTGCGAATACGCGGACCAGGCAGCGGACGGGACCTTCGAGTCCCGTCTGCTGCCTGGTCCGCGTGGATTTTCTTTAGATATAGTTTGTTTTTATCATGCTCAATTGTCAAATTACTATGGAGTTTCCGAAAATTTTATTTAAACGCATATAAATACTTTTGAATTGTTTTTATACGCAAGGTTTCCTTTTGATACTGGTATTCAATATCTACAAGTCTTTTTTATAATAACATATAATTTACAACAATTATTTCTTAGTTCGGTAAAATGAAAAAAAAACAACTTTGTTTTTTTACCATTTTGAAAAAACTTAGGACCGCAGTTTTTTTTTCAGGATAACAATCCTTGGAAATAAATGTTTTATTACGGTATGTTATTGTTGATTTCTCACATATCTATATATATAAAAATGAAACCCGTTTTCCGTTGTCACGACATAACATGAAAACGGCTTGACCGATTTGGCTGTTTTTTTTTTGTAGTTTTCTAATACTCTGTACAAGGTTCTTACGGAAAAAAATATAAAGAAAATCCCAAGGGGATAAAATAAGGAATGAAAGTTTGTATGAAACTTTATCAATTTTAAACCGATCGGGCTGAGACTTTGCATGCAGGTATAAGAAGAATCATAGATGAATGTCATTGTGTATAATACAAGCCTGAGAACAAAAACTGTAGTCTACACTTCAGCTCTACACCGAAGCGAAGCGAGGGCGGGCCGCTAGTCTATATATATAAAAATGAAACCCGTTTTCCGTTGTCACGACATAACATGAAAACGGCTTGACCGATTTGGCTGATTTTTTTTTGGAATATTCCTTGAAGTACGAGGATGGTTCTTACGAAGAGAAATATTTAAAAAAATGCCTGAAAATGTCAAAAAACAAAAGTTTTCTTTACTCCCATACAAACGATGCCATAAATTTCAAATGTTAGTGGAGAGATTCTGGGAAGGCAAAACAATTGAGCGACGTGATGTCAATGGAAGTTTGGAAAAGATAAATATACCATCTTCATTTTATAATCTATATATATAAAAATCAAAGGTGACTGACTGACGTAGTAATCTATCAACGCACAGCCCAAACCACTGGACGGATCGGGCTGAAATTTGGCATGCAGGTAGATGTTATGACGTAGGCATCCGCTAAGAAAGGATTTTGATCAATTCTACCCCCAAGGGGATAAAATAGGGAATGAAAGTTTGTATGAAACTTTGTCAATTTTAAAACAGAACGGGCTGAGACTTTGCATGCAGGTATAAGAATAATCATAGATGAATGTCATTGTGTATAAAACAATCCTGAGAACAAAAACTGTAGTCTACACTTCAGCTCTACACCGAAGCGAAGCGAGGGCGGGCCGCTAGTTACTTTATAAAATTAAAATTCTTCAAATGCGCTCTATTAATTCTGCGTTCATACTTCAAACAAACAACGGAACGGGGAATTTGAAGACTTTCCCGCATGTCGTCGTGATTGTTAGCAATTGTTGAAAGCTTTGTGGGTAATTTTCAATCAAAAATTAGTAGTAAAACTTATGAGATGATAAACTCATGAGCTTTATCTTAATCTTTAACGGAAACTATGAATACAATTCTGTACTCGTAAAAAATCTCCATAAAAACTACCATAGAAAACTACCGTACGAAAATAACTAAACTAAATTAAATTCTAACTCATAGCGAAATTTGTTGATTCTGCATCTGCTTGGTTTAATAGAAAAAAAACAGGAAAGTAAAAAAAACTAGTTCTAAAAAACGGAGTTACCGCTAGCTATATCAACATCAGCTCTGTAAAGTCCCAATTTTGGGATCAATGACTTCTATGTATTGTTATGTTATTTATATTTATGTTAAATTTATGGTAACTTTTATTTATGTTAAATTTATATTGATGTTAAATATACATAACATAACAATACATAGAAGTCAATGATCCCAAAATTGGGACTTTAACCATCGGACCAATACGAACCCATAAAATTACGCCAATGGAAAACTAAACATCGAATACGCCAACTTAGTAGTATAGTGCAATAGTGCACATGACGATAGAGGTAGGTAAGTTTCGTATCATGTAATCTATCACTACTGTTTCCAAAGATGATCTTATGCCCCAACAATTTCCAAAATAGCACGCCGTTGCGCTGTTTGTAGCACAAATTCTTAATACAAAGTTATAACATCTTTTTCCGCCTGGGTTTAAAAAATATAGGATTATTGAATAATTTGTGTTCCTTTTAAAGTATCCGCGAGAATTTAAGAGTCGCTAACATAAACGTTCTGTATCTTTCCCAACTATTTGAAGTCAATATAGATAGAATGAGGGTAATAAACATAGTACTTGGGTATAATAAGGTGAATTTCATTTAAGACCTTTGGTGCAAGTGGTCCTATGGAAAGAAATCATAGAGGATAACTTATAAATTAATAAAAATTCTTTGAAAATAAAGAAGATAAGTAATATATTATAAAATGATATTTCACGGAACATCATGAATCAGATCACTCGCGCGCTGTCCATATAAGCCAAGCTGAGGTCGCGTTCAATGCCAGTTGTACCTCGCTGCGCGCAAGCACACGTTGTTTGCCGGTTTTAGTATTTAGCTTATTGTTATTTTTTTTTACTAATATATTTTTATTATTACCGCCAAAATGGCGTCAGCCGTGATCAAGTTCAGTGCCATATTTATGTTAATTTGCCTGTGCGCCGCTGATGTGTGTTAGTATCCATTATTTTATTATTATTATTTAAGACGTATAATTAATAGCGTGGAATACTTTAAGTTTATTTGAATAGTTATCATGAATCGGTAACTTTTTCGATTTCGTTTCTGCTAAGAGTTTTGTATAGGTTTTTACAGCCATTATTAGTCTCAAGTATTCTAAGAATCAAATATTCTTTTTGTGATGTATTATACCTACAGTTGCTGCTGAGTTTCCTGTATATCTTTCACTAACAAAAAACTTCAACGATATCAACATATCAAAGTAAAACGTAGTTTTTCTTATATTTCATAAAGTTTAATAATATTTATTCCTACTTACGCTACATTTGCAATAAGGAGTGTTTAATCAACTTCAAATTTAAAATATAATGCTTATTAGTTATTCCAAACACCATATTGAAAATTAAGATAAAAATAAAGAGGCCTACAATAAGTATGATTTTTTTTCTTCGTGTATCAGGTAGATTATGAAAACGTATTGGACACCTATTTTTTCTTTATTCACACAACCAAAACATTATCGAGATATTTTATATTGATTTGAAATGCCGCATGACGTCACCTCTTGGTACAATTTTTACAATGTAGTGACGTCACTAGGCCAAACTTTGACGCGCTTTATACTTGTCTTTATTGGAAAAGAAAAAAAATGTTTCTATTATTTTTTGATAACCGAACTGACGGACTAAATAGAAATTTGTTTAATATACCCCGTCATCATCCCTATATCAGCCTTGTAAAAAGAACTTTAAACAGAAAATCACTTGGCTTTATGCTTGTTAACACTTAATCTGTAGTGATCCAAACTTAGCTTTGCGGTTTTAAACTTGTAAGTATATTAAATAGATACCATTTTTCGTACTTATGTTGCATGACCTAACTAAGCATATTATTTGTAGAATGTACAATCGTTTCGTTAATTTTTTTTCTATTGGACACTAGGTAGGTATATTTTCGCTTAATTATGGGTTTTCAATCTTCTTTCTTGAAGACCTTTCCGACGTCGCAATAAATAGCTGAATTTATTAACCAAAAATTAGTTACGTATTATTATTTTTTTAAATCAAATGTTCAAAATTTAATAGTATACATATACCTTTCCGACGTCGCAATAAATAGCTGAATTTGGTAACCAAAAATTAGTTAGATATTTTTTTTTAAATCAAATGTTCAAAATTGAGTCGTATACATATAGCACCTAGGTCCTGCAATAATTACACGGAAAAAACAAAAAAACTCAACGAAGATTTTATCCTTTAAGTGTAAAGCAGCCACTTCGGTTATAAAACTTAAAAAAACCTCTTCCACGTAGTTCGTCTAATAAATAATAACAGATTATGATTCCAGTACACCATACAAAGTAAACACGCATAAAATATCCATAAATATCTAAGTTACATCTTCCAAAGACAGATTAATCGCCATGATTACGTTTCTAACGACATATTAATGGGATCATTCGTTTTTAATTAAAGAGACGTTTTATTAATTGCTATTGTCTGACAATGATAGGTAATAATGATTTAATTAATTGCATTGCGGTATATTTTGCAATAACGCAAACTTTAATCGAATTGTAGATAAAACTTTTTTTTAATAAGTATAATATGAAATATTATTAGGTAGATATAGTAGAGTATGTTTTCAATTTGGTTACATTTACTTTATATTGTAAATCTTAGGGCATTTACGTAAATGCATAAATTGTCGTAAATGCTCTAAGATTGTAAATATATAACTTACTGGAAGTTAAATTACAAACTACACAAGACTCTTTTAATGAGCGTCATCCTATCCTGTCCTAATCATTAGGTTTTTTCTAGCCTTACTATTTTGCGTAGTACTCAGGTTCTTTGTAAAACAAGTAAATTGATGGGTGACAAAGTGTGTCAAGTAACACTTTTAGGTACATATACGATCCGAATCCTACAGTAAAGTGGCTGGCATTGAAGCTTATTTGTAATTTTACGCAAGAGTCGCATCACAGAATGACACGCAATGACATGACCAAACGTTCTGCTAATTTAGAACAAAGAATAACATAAGTAACACCTAATTTTATAAAAAAAAGTATTTCAATATCTCAGTTTTATGGAATTTTACTATATAAGATAAATAACTTTTATAAGTAATTAGGTAATTTGGATTTTGCTTAGGATATTTAAGATCAAGTTGTTTTTAAGTTTTTGTTATTCAAATGTTTCTAATATTTAATAATTTAATTATAAATCTTTTTTGCTTCTTAATTGTTTTTTGATATAATCAAATTCCTTAAAATAAATCCTTCGTTTCTGCATTCAAATCCTGTTTAATATTTTCATCTGAATTATAAATTGTAGAAGAGACAATAAATCGTTATAGTTACTTTAAAGGTAATATATTACTGTGATAACTCGATTATGATTAGTGATTAATGGACGCAAGCTAATTGTCAAACTATGAAAAATAAATTTATTTTTCTTTTTTGTTTATTAGAAACAACAGAATTCATTGTCGATAATATTAGAGAAACATTATGTTTGTACCGATAAGGTAGGTAAAGACTCAGTCAATAAAAACTTGAAGATATTCACATGCACTGTCGCAGATGACATTCCATTCCATGGAAATGGAGAATGGTGAATCCGGATAATCGAGCTTTTACAATGTATTTGGAAAATTAAACATCTCTCGTGTTGAATGAACCTCCAATCACAATCCAAATTGCACCTTTAAAACTTTTGTTTTACAAATCTACAGTGCTATTCTGTAACAACAGATTATCACCTCAGAATCCGCGGTGTGACTTAAAATTAGAACACGAATTTCAAATCAAATTTAAAAAAAAATATTTCGTCATACACTTGTTTACTTTAACGGCTTAGTTTGGATTTTTATTAATTGGTTATGTCGGAACTTGAGGTCTGTTTTCATACTGTATTTGTACACTGTTAGGTCTATTACATAAAAAAATACTTAACTTAAGTTACTTTTGTAAAATATATGCCAATTTGTTGCCAAAATAAAAGAAAAAAAATCACATCGGCAAATTTCGCTGTGAAATGTGAGTTTATTTATACTGAATTGCACTACTGCAAAAGCCGACAATAGAATAATACAATTTAAAATTTATTGTGCTTACTTGCCCTCAGAAAGCCTCGCATCGTTCCATAGATTGTACAGGCGATCAAATTTTTAATGATGCGATGGGAGTTGATAAATTAAAGTTGAGCTCTTTAATAAAACCACTTTAAATTTGTGCATTTCTAGTTATTAATTGTACTGGACTTTTGTACATAATAAAACTATGATATTATTATATCGTAATCAAAACTTTACCAGCAATCATCAAATATAATCATAAAAATAATATACTTTACTCAGCTATTTAATAAGTACTACATAAGTACTCGGCTATTTCATAGAAGCATCTGCAGACTAGAGCTATCTCTAGCTTCTTCGCTTCTATTTCAGTGTCTTTAAATCGTTCGATCAATTTTCTTAATTATACGAAGTTAACAGTTTACAACACAGTGTTAAGGTAAGACATTACCTAAGGCCACGCGTATTTAAAAACAGGATAAGAGAATTACTTAAAATTTATTCATCTTATTAATTAAATACAAATAGCAATACAGTACATTAGAATGCGGATGTGACTCATACCAATGTATTTTTGGAGTTTCCCAACGAATATATTGCGATTTATATCTTTTCCTTTGAAACTTTGATCAGGATTATTATTGGCAGATAAACATAATTTTGTACAGCATCGATTTTATTTTATTTTATTGAAGATCAAATAACTTAAACAAAACGCTACAAAACCATATAGAAAACTTTAAAGTTAATGTATTTTGTATAACATTAAAAAACTATTTAGCTTTTTTAAAGCCTGGTCTGATCATCATGGTAGGTTTGTAAAATAAAGTTAAAATGAGAATTCCGTTTAACGATAAAAATACTTAGTTCATTTAACAACATGTTTGCAGAGAAAAATAGAAAAGAATAAACTTGTCATCCGGCCAGGACCGGTCCATTCAGCAGTAAAGGCCGTATATAACATCGAATACTTCTTTATTATAATTGACTAGCTCTACAACTTGCTTGGCTTAATAAAATCAATAAAACGGTAAATTACAATAGTTGTGTCTGCTCTGAAGATCCGTTAATACCTAAAAGAATACTTCTGTTTTATTCATTCTCAATTTGTTGCCAAGTGGATTTTGATATCTATGTAAATTAGAGGCATATTTCGCATTCTCATTTCAATAAATATAGCTGTTCATAAGCATTAAACAAGAAGAATGGTTATTTGTTTCTTAGGTTTTCACGCACATCACTCATTAAATAAAACTAGTTTTTTACTGGTTAATGCACGAAACTTTATTTATTTATTGACGTTTCTTCAATAAATAAAGTTTCGTGCATTAACCCGTAAAAAACTAGTTTTATTTAAGAAGAATGGATATTAATATCAACCTTAAATAAAAAAAACTGCTTAGTTGGTCTTCACTTTAATATAACATCACATATAACTTGCCTAGTGGCGAAAGATAAACGACAATTTAAAGGAAAATACAATACTTAGTAAATCTGAAAATTGTTTAAAAAACCAACCAAGTGCGTGTCGTGCCACGCGCAGTGTAGGGTTCCGTAGTTGCTCGTCATCACCACAATATATTTTCGTTTTAGAGTCTATATTTTAAGCAATTACTTCGTGTAAGTCACTTTTAATAAGGAATTTTTATTAGGTCCGAAATTTTCTAATGAGATGTCGTGAGATTTTTTTCAACGCCATCCCCCAATCTCACGTGAGATTTTTCAAAATGTGGGTTTCTTACTTAAATGCGTTGGATTGTTATTGTTAAAAGAAAAAAAAATGCTTCGTGCTTTTATTTACGACTAGTTAAGACTAGTAATCAATATTGCTGAGAGTTATTTCTTTCGAACGAAATAGTGAATGATCTTAATCGTATTACGATTACGCTTAAGATTAAATTTTAAGCATGAACAATCTGGATTAAGTGGACCAAAATAGTATATTTTTTTTGTTTCAATCAGAAAAAAAAATTGCGTGATATTTGACTCGACCCCTCCTCTCTCCAACGTAAGATTAGATGAGATTTGACTCGACCCCCTCCCCCCCCTTAAACATCTCACGTAATTTATGGACGCCCCCTAAGTTGAACGATATTACTCTTAAAGTAACAAATCTATTCTAAGCGTTAAAATTTTCCTTCAAAAGTTCATAAAAAGCATTAATACTTACCATGAATTTTCCAGATTTTTCAAGCGAATAGTTAAGCTTTTAGAGGATCCTACACGATAAAAAATTAGCACTTTAAAGTTCAATATTTTGCAAAAAGATCCCTAAATCGAAAAGAAGTCTTTGGGACCACTAAATAATTCTAAAGGAACTATTCAACGATACCCCACATGATGGAGTAGACGATGAAAAAATATCATAAAATCATCTCCAGGTTACATGTAGGGGCACTATCCAAAAAAAAAATAAAAAAAAAATCACCATTTTGTTGGCATGATTGATATACAATATATGTCCACAAAATCTCTCATGGCACTCTCTAGTGCTAATAGTCTCCAAGCAAAACCGGGGACGAACAGACAAACGTGAAGAAACTATAAGGGTTCCTTTGCAGGACTACAGAACCCTAAAAAGGAGAGACAATAACACGAACCACTGTTGTAAACAGTCTTTATAGGTTTCATTGCTTGATATTAATAAAATACTTACCTCTATGTTAATAGGTCAATGCGTGAAGATTTGATAAGCAAGACAGAATTTGTTTATATTGGTATGCCTACATAATGATAATGTAATCATAGATGTTCTGTTTTACCAAACGCTAATTTTTAACTTAGCAATATTCTCAATTATCTCGTAATTTATAGTGTAAAAAGCAGATACATTTAGCAGTAATAACATTAAATCGGTCTGCTGAAAACAGAAAAATGTAGCAAAAGGGAGGAAAATATGTTCCATTTGAGAGCTTCCATTGTTGTGCGCGCTGCGTAATTGGTATCCTTTCAAATTATCTACAAAAAAATCCGCCACAGCATATAATTATATATCTTTTAAGGGTGACCCACTATAATCTTTTTCTTCAAGTTAATGTTAAATCATAACTAACTAACTACTAATATCTACTTACTCTCTTTATCTATAAATAACAAAATGGTAGAAAAGTCAAAACTGTACATTGTATATTTTTTTAAAGAATACTTGGGGTGTAATGTGCTATGGATACCGAAGCCAAAAATATAGCTTTTAGAATTTTTGTGCTTGTCTGTATGTGTGTCCGGGATAAACTCGAAAAGTACTGCATGGATTTACTTCAAATTTGGCACGAATATTATTAAGATGTCGGGTCAACATATAGGCTATATAAATATTATCACGCTATCACCTATGGGGTACGACCAGTGAACCTTTATTTCTAATTAACTCCACGCGTACGATGTCGCGGGCGGCCGCTAGTAAGCAAATAACTTCTAATAATTCTTAAGTTCATAACAAAGATACCTGAATACACCATTATTTTTGTTTCTACATCAATGATAACAATACATACGTAGAGTGAAGGCCATTATGATAGATATAATTTAACAGGCACTGCCTTTATAAACGTATACAATAAGAGCAAATTTCGTGTATATCCATTATCTTGTAATTTAACTTAACGGCGAGAGATAACTTGAGACGGAAGCCTATAGTAAAGTTCGCGGAAAACTTATCGATAATATCTTGGCAAAACCTAAGTCTTGTCCGTTCTTCTAATGAGATAACAACTTAATAGATACCACAATAATGGTGTATCGATTATGACATTAAAAACTAAGACACACATTCCACTACAGCCGCAATTAACTTGCACAATATTAAACATGATCTTGAAATTCCGGAAATGTAATAGTTTATTTTTTATTTCATTAATTAAGTTCTACTTCATTACTATTAACATCATAAACTTTGTTTTTTTACGAACAACCACCAAAAACAATTGAAGTTTAAAAAGCACTTACTTCAACAATTGGGGTTTTTTTTTTGCTCTTCTGGAATACTCTTCCTCCTGCCATAAGCCTTTTATACTGTTTTCCAAATATGTATGTAGAAACCCATAATTTTAAGTGTAGTGTTGGCAGAATTATTTTATCCACTTAACATTTTATTGAAAAGACAATGAACTGTTACCTTCGTTCGGTTTATTCGTACATTTTGAGGTTGGATGTACTCAAGGTTTTGTGACTAACTAAAGTCCTTGACTGACCACGACGTAGATTTATGTTTAGCCGTGTTGTCAATAAATTTTGCATAAATATTTCGATGCAAGTACCCATGTTCTTGAATACTAATAACCTATTTTGAACCCTTAGTAATATTGAAATATTGTTTTAAATTCTGAACGTATTCATTGGATCGACTTATTTTTATCACTGGTTATTAAAGACAGATAGATATCTTTAGACGATAGATCTATCGTATACCAATTCTGGCAAATTATTAGCCCAAGCGAGAATTTTGGGATTAACTCTAGAGTGGCAGAATAAGATAAGGGAGCAACCTTGCAACTTATGAAGTACTTCCACCATACCTGTGCCCTTTATATAAGGTCAAATGTCTAGGGCAGCACCAAAAAAAATAACAATTGGTCATGACTTTTGGTCTGGTTCAAATCATCAGTCTTTTGAATAGGGGCTACTGGAGGGCTCACGACTATGATTAAATTAAAAAAAATACAAAACATCTTTCATCTGGGAACTAGAAGTTTTCTTCCCAGAAGTTTCACCTGCAATAATAAAAAAAACACATGTTTTTTCGAATAGGCATACAGCAAACTTTGCAAAGTTTTAGGTTCGGTTACATTGGCAATTGTTTTTTTTCCGTAAAAAGTAACATATTTTCATAATATTCGTTTTTCGTGTTCCAGCTGAGCTCCCAGGAGTGAAGAAGCTAGGCGCGGCGCCCGTGACCGAAGTGTGCTTGGGATGCATCTGCCAGGCTGTATCAGGGTGCAAGCAGGGCACACAGTGCGAGGGCGACCACTGCGGCTTGTTCCACATCACGTGGCCTTATTGGGCCGATGCCGGGAAACCCACCATCAACGGACTCTCTCCCGAAGATCCGCAAGGTGAGAATCTATTCTACCTTGTCCGAAGTGTGCTTGGGCTGCATCTGCCAGACTGTATCATGGTGCAAGCAAGGCACCCAGTGCCAGGGCGACCTCTGTGGCTTGTTCCACATCACTTAGCCTTACTGGGCTGACGCCGGGAAACCCTCACTTATGGGAGTCTCCCACGTAGACCCGCAAGGTAAACTCGACCGAAGTATGAATCCTGATATAAATCCTATATCAGGATTCAAGCAGGCCAGGAGGGTATTTTGAAATCTGGCACCCTGGGCTATTTACGAATTGCATCCACCAACCCCCCTTAAATTAGAAATCTCGTCGAAATATAGGTCAATGCCTTTACATAGCTTTTGCCGCCCCTCGAAGTTCTTGCAGACGCCTCTCGCAGCTTGCCGCCCTGTACAATTGCCGTTTTGGCCCTAGGGTAAACGCCCTTGAAGGTACTTTAAAACACTTAGATAATAAAAACAAAGTCTTAGAGCTACGTACACTTAAATTGTTATTTTAAGAGACCCTTTAGTTAAAAAATCTGCGATATAAATCAATATAATCTTGCACTTAGCATAGATTAACCTATTCATATAAATCAAAAGGCATTATTGAATACCTGTAGATAAAGCCTTAAAAATATTGGTAATAGCTAAAAATATAAATTGTTGTATATTTTATTATGCCTACGCGTTTATATGTTTTGTTTATGTAAGTAACAGGCGTGTAACAGGATATAACGCGGATCTGACATTGAAAGAAATCACGATGGCTCGTAAGGCTAACCTTTTGCTCAACTCTTGATAAATTTCCATATTTGTAATGACGAACGGGCTTAGTTTAATAATATTACGACGAAATTCCTTAGCCATTCATAATTGGTAAAAAAATAAAGTAGTAGCGCTATTTAATAAAAAGATTTTTTTCAGAACTGACCGACCTACCTTTTATTTTAAATTTCACACAATAAGTAATTTATTATTTATTTCAGACACACCAACAGTATACATAACAAGCATTGACAAATTAATTCATAATAATACAGTCCACTTATGTACACCTTTAATAAGTGTGTACAGCATTCAATGAACTTGTCAGAAATCATAATTGAAATAAAAAATCATAATCATCATTACAAAATAAGATTATAAATTAAAATTTTAAATAAACCTACTATTTCTCCAATGTCAAAAGTCAGTTTTTTTTTCAGAAATAAATGCCTAATTAACGTATAATGATGATAACATAACACATTAAATAATTATTAAAATGTTATTGAAATTGCGTCTAGGCAAACGTAGTGTAGGACGTCCTCAGGCGAGATGGAGTGACGATTTGCGCAAGGTAGCAGGAGCTGGATGCAAGTAGCCCAAGATCGATCTGAGTGGCGTGCAATTGGAGAGGCCTATGTCCAGCAGTGGACTAAGATACGCTGTTGATGATAATGATAAATTGAAATAAAAATATAACTACAGTAGATAAAAATTTCAAAGTAATATTAGAACAATGTTTTATGAATTGCATTTCTCTACCCTGGAAAAGGAAAATGATTCCAATACCTTTTTTCTAAACATTGACAGTGAGCTACCAAATATTCTAATACCGTCCACTTTACTACTAAGCAATATATAAATATATTGTTTGTCAATGAGGATTCCCTTGTATATGTATACAAAAATCCTTATCACGTCATCACAAAATTTATACGAAATCATTCATAATAATTTAATAAAAAGGCTAAACTAACAATAATTTACTTTTTTTTTAATCAAGTAATAATCAGTGCATAAAAAGTTTACAACATGCTTACCAGATTTTTTACTATTGGTTTGAACTCTTGTCATTTTTGTCCCGTACCTAACGTATTTACTACTAAGAAAAGGATATTAAAATTTACCACGAAATAAGTAAAAAGAAAAAAGGCTTTATGTCTGCGACACAACACAAAAATATAGAAGGTCATTGATGTTTTTGTTAAACACTAAGAATACGAACAAATCACAGATATATTTAGACAAAAGAAGATCATATTTACACTGAGTAGGCGTGAAAGTGGGAGTAAAGCATCGAGAGTGGTTCTCATACAATATCCTTATATGTTTGATGTTTTTTCCATTTACAAGAAACATTTCATAATATTCTGTATTCAATAGGAACTTATTTATATGACGACACATACGATATCACTGAAACTTTTTTGAAGTGAAAATTCATTTTGTACTGGTTGTAAAGACGACTATATATACATGTGTGTGGGATGCATGCACAGCTCTTCCCGGCGAGCATGAAACTTGGAGGGTAACTCGGTGAAGGCTGAAACGCTATGAGCGTCACGAGCGTCACACGCGACAATACATATATATGAGTGATACGTGCGCTGCTCCAGTGCCCTATGCCTTATGCACCGCCTAATGTAAGATTATTTAAGAAAAGAAATTTCATCTAAGGAAAATATAACTAGAAAAAATTCCACGCGGACCAGGCAGCTGACGGGACTCGAATCCGCACCCTTCGCAATCCGGGCGAATGCACTGACCACGCAACGCGGCCCTCACGGACCGCGTCGAAATTCTTCTAGCCATTCTTAAGGGTTCGAGTCCCGTCTGCTGCCTGGTCCGCGTGGAATTTTTTCTAGTTATATTTTCTTTAGATTTAAACATCAAGCAGTTACATGCTTTAAAATAATAAAAATTATAAAGAAATTTCACTTCTGATGTGTGATTCGTGCATACAATTTTTTTCTACTGAGGTTTTCTCATGGGCAAAATTGTGATCAGAAATTGTTATTTCGTTTCAGCATACCCATCGTGCACCAACGACCCTTACTGCGCTGCTCTGGCGGTCCAGGGCTACATGGCTAAATACGGACAGGTAAGAGCATATTTTGATTAAATATATCTAAAATAACTAAAACTGAAAAAAAAACTTAACTAAGAATACATTCAAGCAGTAAGTTGAACTGTAGACAAAATCACAGTTTCTAGTCGTGTATTATTTAGTATGTATTTCTATATAAATATACTTATATATGTACAAGATGTATTCTGTCCGTTACCCTAGTATCCCATAAAACAAGCCGTACAGTGTTTACTATGGGCTAGGCTAATTGGTGTGAGTGTCAGAAATATTCATTATTATTATTCCATCAAACGCTAAAGTTAATTTCAAAACTTGAATTACTACATACATATAATGGTATAAAATGAATGGTTTATCGCGTCCGTATATCCGCTAACTCCTTCCTAAATCACACAACGGATTTTGATGCGACCTTCACCATCAATTAGATAATTAATTTTTCACGGAAAGATTTTTTCTAAGCGTTACTTTGTTACGTTATCTTTTAAATTAATGAAAAGAATGCCCCTTGTCTTTGCACTCTAATAAGCTTCGTCATCATCATGATGATGCCGAGCCTATTAATGTCCCCACTGCTGAAGCACAGGCCTTCCCTATGGATGGAATAGGGAGATTGGGCCAAGAACTACCACGCGAGCCCAGTGCCAATTGGCGGGTGCTACCGACTGCAGATGCAGCCGGGACCAACAGCTTAACGTGCCTTACGAAGCACGGAGAACTCGAGATAGAAGATTTTTGGTCACCCATCCAATGATCGGCCATTGCGAAAGTTGCTTAACTTTAACGATCGCAGCCGAACGCGCTAACCACCTATGCCATCGTGCTCCTTGATGATAGTTAATTAAACTTAACGCTATCGAGCTTTTACATACATGTTATATTGTTCTTACGAGAAACTATAACCACGAGAACCTACAAATGAGCGGCTTGACGGCGGATTGGTCTGCGAACGTGGAACTTAAACAAATTTTGGCTAAGGCCGCCGCACCGCGTCTGTCCAAAGAATTGTCTTTGTTTAAATTAGCTTCGGTTGACACGCCAAGCTGTTGGTCTCGGCTGCATTAGCAGTCGTAAGCACCCACCTAAGCACTAGGCCTACGTAGTTGGCCATGATCCAATCTCCATATAACATCCATCGGGGAGGCCTTCTCCACATGTGGGGGCCTTGATAGGCTATTCATGATTTATCATATATGTATATATATATATAGGCTTTTAAGCCTATACATTCTGGTGATGTTACGGAATATAATCATAGTAACCTATATTTTATCATTAGCGCCTGCCCTCTGTAGTATGAGGGTGGCGAGCGGCGCTAAAAGCTAAAAGAGAAAACGAGTTTCAGCGAAAAACAAAATTGACGTGAGAGAAAGCGCTTCAAATTTTCTTCTAACCTGATGAAGTGCTAACCCTCTAAGCCGGGTACTCATTAGCGAGCTGTAACCGTAACCGTTGCATGCATTGTAACCAAAAAGCATAGTGTGTACGTGGTTCGCTAACCTGCTGCGAGCTGTACGCGTGCGGTTTGCAGCGAGCCGACGTTTACAACTGAGCTACAAGTCACGATTACTGCTCGCTAATGAGTACCCGGTTTTACGTGCTGTCTATCAATAGTACTGATCAGAGTGTAAGTACTCCGACCTCGAACCAAAATCTCCAAAGCTCTGTGTTTACCCGTTTCAAGAACCTAAGATCTTCATTTTCGGATTAATATAAAAAATACCTCTTAAAAAAATGCAAGTATAGGTGCGTGTTAGACGTAAGTACAATTCTTTTAAGCACGCTTTTATTAGCTTTGCCTGTATTTTCACCGACGACATGAAAACTACAAATTGTGCCCACCGACCAATAATGACCTGACATAACATGACATCGGAAAGCTCTTTTCACGGCTATTATTTATTACTATGCAGTCTGGTCTCATTTCGCTGTGGGAAAATAGTTATAACTAAATGATATCCATAAAAAGTCTCTTCTTTCTGTTTTTTTTTGCTACATTTTTTTCCCCACAGCTTGTTGAGACTGGCCCAGTAACAAAGGATATAAATCATTTATTATTTATTTATTTATTCCGTTTAGGCTGTTACAAGCACTTATGAATATCTAGAAGCTACGCCATCAGTTCGTAAACCTACGGCGGGAAACCTTGTACTGAGAAAAACCGGCAAGAAACCCAGCAAGGGCTGATTTTTTCTCCCTGTTTTATATCATGTAATCACCTTTCATCACATAATGTGATATATACATTAATTATTCATCTTCATTTTGATTGATGTGTCATACAGTATAAATTCAATTAGTGTTATTTATATTAGGTTAAACTAGACATTAACATCTTCAATATCAAAGTAGTTAGGACAGACTCATCTCCGCTGGCAGCACCCGTTCACAAGCATGACGCATCGCTTCGTTCAACTATATTTTAGGGAACGTAATTACCCTCCTCATACGACACCATAGTCATGAGAATTGCTATCTAATACATAGCTACACGGATCGTTATTGGTTGGCGGGTACATATCCCATAAATTCCTGCCCATTCTCCTTTGTACACTTATCAAAGATTGATAAGTGCTTACTGATAACAACACAATAAGAGTAATCAAAAGTTAAATGCGTGTTAAAAGGAAAAAATAAAACGGTTCACTTACAGCCGATCAAACAGATCAAAGTAAAAGGCAATTAATATATTATTTTTTATTCTATTAAAAATAATTTCTGCGCTCGAGTTTGTCCCCGTTAACTTTAGATTCGCGCAGCCGTCTTATGTTTATAAATAAGGACCTTATAATAGTTATAATATAAGTGTTAGATAACTTTTTAAAAAATGGCTGAAATCGATTCACTTAATTCTCAAGTTATGGCGTGACCAAGGGAAGTATGGATTCATTTAGACCTTAAAATTAAAACACTAATTATACATTCGCTCGATAGGTAAATTAATCAGAAATGATCCATAACGGTGAGTATCATGAATGAATGAGTGAATGATTTATTTTTCTCTCAAAAATTAACATTATAATTAAGTAAAAGGGTATTGAATGACAATAACTGTAAAAACAATGCAGTTGTTTGAGAGAGTTGCAGATTTTACTAGGTTACAAAACCTGTGTTACGACACCCAAGCTCAAATCCTCTTAAAGCCCGTTTGCTTGTTGCTATCCTTACCTCGCATTCTTAAAAGAAATGCCTATAATTTTAACAATTAGGGTGTGGGGTACTTAAAAGAGGATTCTATCCTAAGGGGTTATGGAGAACTCCAAGCGACATCTTTGATAGGAGTTCCTGGCAGTCCACAGCCCCACAAGCGATTCTACTGAGGAAAACGAAATCCGCAATTTCGCTTCGTATCTCTAATGGGATTATTGATGCTTTCTGCAGAGTTTCCCATACCAACCTGAACCATAGCATTCTTTAGTACAAAAGCACAGATATCTTTTGAAAGAGGAGCTTTGGCCGAAAGGTGTGGTGTTCCGGCGTTTCAAAGCTAGGCTAGCTGACACCACTTCGCGCTATACGTCGCCGAATAAACGTGTTACTTAGTATTTGTAATTATTTTGATATTTCATATTTATGTTAGATGCTATGCTAAGCTATAAACTTATATAAGCCTACGATTCTTGAATAGTATTCAAGAATCGTAGGCTTATATAAGTTTATAGCTATAAATAAAAAATTAAATAAAAAACTTTCCTCTTGTTCCATGACGAAAAAAAAACAGCCTCAGTAAACAGGAACTAAATCAACTTAACCCCGGGACAGTTTAATCCTGTCATCTGGTGCTGAAGGCATCTAAGATAACTTTATAATGAGGAAAATACAATTACATTGACGTTATCCACACTCCCTCTTAAAACACTTAGTACCTACCTACTATTGTGGGTTGCCTGCAATGCGAGAAATGGAAATGCCTTGCAGTTACTAGAAGAAATTCGACACGGCTAATAAGATCGATTAGTGCGTCCGCCCGAATTGCGGAAGGTGCGAGTTTGAATCTTGTCTGAAACCAGGAACGATTGTTTTGCTTTTCTAGTAAATATTTTCTTTAATTGTATAAATTTTGCAGTTAAGTGTTTAAAAATATTATCACCTTATATTTTATTTCATTTTTAAGCATTTAACTGATAAATGTTTAAATCTAAAGAAAATTTTACGAGAAAAAAAATCCACGCAAACCAGGCAGGCAGACGGATCTTTATATTTCTAAATATTATTTATTATAACTTACCTAGCACTTAGGTTATTTAAAAGTATCGCGGCCACTTACCATTAAGCGTGCCATAAATGTTTTTCACCCTTTGTACATTAAGAAACAAATAAAAAACGCTATTGCAAAACCATGGAGGTTAAATAAAATAATTAATCAATATTTCCAACACTCAATCCAATTAGCCTAGCCCCAAATTAAGCACTGTAGGCTTGTGTTAAGCGATACTAGAGTAACGGAGAGAATATATATACTGAAGTATATTTATATAGAAATACATATTTAACATATGCACGAGCAAGCTACGCACATTTCGCTCGCTCACCATTTTACTAATTGAACTTATTTTATTATTTTCAATAATCGCCAATTACTTACAAGTTAATTCACAATTAGCTATCAAGTAAGCCGTGCGCGTATCATTCTTAACAATCATTTTTATATTAATTAGTACTGTTTTAAGTTCTTGTTTAGTTACCAAAATATACTTTATTATCAAGTAATCAAGTTTATCATTTTATCAGTATCTTAGTTTCGGTACATCCCGAACATTGGTCCTTCTAGCCGGGTTGACTTGACTGGTGTATAAATGCTCGTATTCATCACACAAACATCTGCCCCCACCGGGATTCGAACCCGGTACATACATCGATTACGTTTAAAAGTTTAACGCGAGACTTAAAAACATTACTTAGAAACATCCACTAGTAAGGTACACAGATATTAAATCGATAACAAAATAATAATGCATTTGTAATACCTAATTTATTGTTTGTATTCATAGCGGGCAAGTAGGTGTGACTCGCCTTAGTTGTCATCGTGATTTGCATATTATTTCATAGCTCTGACATCATTTTGTGGGTTGGCATTGCTTGCTAATGCAGCATTAAGATAGATAAAAAATGTAAATTGTGTGTAGTATATAAAAACAAGGCGAATCAACGTAAACACTTTTATAAAACCCAAAAATTTAAGAAACCTGCTTCATCAGTTACTACTGTATAAACCTTTTTTGGTTTGGGAAAAGCACGACGCTTTCCTCTCGCCACCGATGATTGTTCAAAGATATGTGAGATACATCCAGCCTAGGGCTCTGTAAATTGAGCAGAACCTTTTTTTTTAACGGGTAGAATGCGTTTACACACCATCCCCGCCCACTGGGCTAGTGAGCGGGGGTGTATGGAACTCTCCCGGCTAAAGAGATAGCCGGGAATACTCCACTAAACTCCCAGGAACTTCTCCTCGTAATAATTGAGCGGGCCACGAGCATTCGCAGGGCGCTGGCTCGCGTAGGCCTACACGGCAGTGCCCGCACAGTAGTCTGCGCGGGCTCATCTCCGAGCCAGAGGTATGGGGCATCCGTTTGGCGACGGACACCCCCCGTCGCAGGGAAATTGAGCAGAACCTAACCTAACCCACTAAAACCTCATACAATCTTCTGCACCGGTCACCTGACCCGCATTTTGGGGACCGCAATCCCTAGACCCCCACAATGTACTCACGGCTCTCGCTGGGTTTGTGGAGGAGCGTAGTTCATCAAAAGTATTCAAATCAAAGTATCACTTGCGCCGTTGCCCTGGCTGGCACCTTACAAACATAACAGCACCAAAAAGTAGTGTTATATTTCCGTGTTTTTTTGTATGATGGAAATTATTTCTCCAAACGTCTGCTCTTATTTGATAGAGAAAATCGCTAAGCCCTCTGTATATTTTGTTCATATTTCACACTGTGTCTTGGTTTAGGGTAATATTTTGTATACTGCGAGTGCCCGTGATATAATTGGTTTCACATACAAATTTTCATTTTCTGATTTGCAGGACTGCAACGGTGATGGCCAGATCAACTGCTACGATTACATGGCCATCCACAAGAAGGGTGGATACGGGTGTGCAGGTGACCTGCCGTTTGATTACGTCAACAAGTTCAACCAATGCGTGGCGGCTGTCGCGGCACACCAGGGATAAACTTAACTTTCAACAATCTATCAACAAATCAAATAATGATATCATATATTCTGTTAAAAAGACTCCCTTCTAAAACTGACTGTGTGTGAGTCCTTTGACAGTTTTGTAATTACTTATACTAAGAAAAAAATTTCATTCATATTAAGACTCGTTTAATTAAAGTTAACTGAGAACTAAATCATAAGAACCTATCTTATGCTTTAATTCTAATATCTTTGATTTCCTTTTTATTTTTTGTACAACTTTTTATATACTTTTCTTCTTTATAAAATTGAATTGAATCTTTGAATTGTATTTGAAATACTCAATGTCTCTTTTTCTTTTTGTTCACAAAGCTTAAATTATGAAATAATATTCTTTCTGTGACGAATTGGAGAATTTTCAATAACTCTGCATTTTACTTCAAGTAAGAACACTAGTCTTAGTTAAAATAAGATTGTGAAATTAAAACTTAACGTATGAAACATCAAAATAAATTATATAAAAAATAAAGGCATGTTTTTATTGTGGAATCCTAGCAGAAAACAAAGCATTTTTTATTTCAGAACATATATCCTGTAAAGTCAGTAAAGTAATTTGCCGAAATATATGTACGCACTTTTCATTATTTACTATCTAGTCTAGATAGTCACCTTGTAAACACGACGATAATTCATCTCCACATTGATCATTTAGTAACTCGCTATTTTAAGTCTTTTAGTTTCATAATAGGTAATTGCAGTTACCTGGAATATTGCTCGCCAGTGTGGAATCCGCATTACGATGTGTACTCAAAACGAATAGAACTAGTCCGAAAACGCTTCTTGTGGCATTTGTCTTTCCAGCATCATCTTGCTAAAAAAATGCCTAGTTATGAGGAACGGCTGCGACATTTCAGGATGAGCAAGTTGGAAACCATTTTTGGATCTCATGTTTTTATTTAATGTTGTAAATAACAGTCCTGATGTTGATGATAATGTTGATGATGATGATGAAGCGATTGATGATAACAATAATTAATAATACTTAATGTTTAAAATAATGATGCTGCTAATAATACTGTACTTTAATTTTTCATAAAAAAAAACAAAAAAAGGAATTCTAATATTGGGCCTTCTTTTTTTATTTATTTAAACAATTTTCATGAAGCTACATGCATGCCATTTCGCATTTCAGCTTACAATAGTATCTATTAACAAAATACAAAGCGGCACGCAGGAAGAGGTCACGCACGGCATTTTTCAGTTTTTTTTTTCAATTGAGAAATTGATGTTTATTCTATTTTTTCACAATTTTGTATATTGGGCTATAGCTACATGCATGCCATTTACATTCATGCTTAAAATAATGTAAATTCACGAAGTACAAAACGGCATGCAAAAACAAGTCACCTAAATTTGCAGTGTGTTTTTCATCACGCATGCCTCAATTTTGCAACATCCTGGTGTGCATGCCAATTTTCCTACTATTAATTAATGATACAAATTAAGTATCCTTTCAATGGCATGCAGTTTAGAATCACGGAAAATCTGTGTTCAAATTTTACAGAGTTATCCGGAAATTTACCACTGTTGGTATGACCAAGGGGTGCATGCCAATTTTTCCAGAGTGTTTTTATTACAAAACCTTCCATTCGGCATGCAATTTCAAAACACGGAATTGCCCTTTAATTTTGTTCAGGTTTTCAGAATCCTATCATCATCTTGGGCCACTGCGGAGTGCATGCCATAAATTATTATAGCTTTAATTTGTTTAAACTTCCGTATATTACAATGGCATGCAGTATACTATCACAGAAAAATACAAAATCCGCTACACAAAGAAAAGCGCTTTTCCTTATGAAGAGGACGCGCGGGGGGCTAAAACCCCGACTATCATTGATATTTAAGGGTTAGTTCTCAAACCTTAAAAAGGCAGGCACGACAAAATCGTGGAACGTCACCTGTCACCAGCTCCCGGTCTATTAAGATTATGCAGAATAATGTTCCATGCCTTGTTTTGTAATGCATGCGGTGGTGACCTATAATATCTTGTATTGGTGTATATATTGTTGGTCGTTCTTAAACAAATAAAAACAGACCAGTTTTTATATACTTGTGTGTGTGACACGCAAAACAAAACACGCGAATCTCTCAACAAATTTTACACTCACAAAATGTCATTATTTTTGTCTCGGTGCGCATGCAGGTTAAGCCGCATTCCCCAAAAAAGTGGGTAAACTTTATCAAATCAAAATTAGTAAACAGTTCACACAATTAAAAATCATAGACGTTGAAACATCTCCACAACATATAAATTTATATTTGGATATTTGAAATAAAAAATATTTGTTACAAATTTTTATTTCATTTAACTAAAATAACAGCCATGATAATATAGAAAAAAACAAGAAAATTGTCTTCTTTTTCATATTATGATGATTAATGTCTTGAATAGTACATTAATCATCATAATATTAGTAGTTTATGATTACCTATATCTTTTAAATTTTACATATTATACAATACATTCCTCTGTGCAGCAATACTTTTGGAAAACAATTCTGAACATGGGACATTAACACCGGCCAGCCACAGCCAGCCTTTTTTGTAAGAAAACTCCTTCAGTAACCAGCAACTTATAAAATCAACTCCAAATTAGCAATCCTTATAATAATAATTACAGACGACACGGTGGAACACTTCGACGGCCATCAACAGAATAAATCTGTCAGCTGTCATGATTCAGTCGGTCATAGTTTATTCGCATCATCTCTCACTTCCGGTTTTAATTAATATTAATACAGTGATCGATAAACTACTTTTAAATTTATAAAAAACATAATTTTATTAATAATTTGGACAAAATAAAATTGAACCTAATAGAAAGTATTAGGAAAATCGGAAAAATATCACACCAAATGGATAAAATAAAAAGTTTATTAGGAAATCTGATGGGACAATGACACTTTCCAACCAAACTCTTTCTACCAAAAAATATATACCAAATGGCTAAAAATGTGCTTAACATGGTGAAAGATTACTCTTTCTTTTAATTGCTTCTGGTCGTTTTTTTCATAATTGTACTCGTTTGTATCTCCTCACCTGTAATACGGGAAGATATCCGAATTTGAAGGTTTTGTTGTAAAAGATCATAATAAATGATACTCTAACAAACCCATACCATATACACATACATTCGGCATCATTAAATTGCGTGTTTATCTGGGTTTCGCCACAGTCTGTGGAGCTGGCCCGACCTTTGAACATGATCTTTAATTTCTTTATCACACGTTCCGTTCATAGCTAATCCATTTTTCATCAGCAGTCACTTTTTCATATAAACATTTTTTTTTGCAACGGCTTGTGTCTCGTTTTTCATTTTGGAGAAATTCTATTACTTCTTGATACATGCAAATTAGAAATATGTACTTACTTACACTAGTTTCTCGACTTATTATTATTTTCTAATTATAATCTTTATCATCATCAAATTACAGATAAAGGTTATACATTATATTTCTTATACCATATCTCGCAATCACAATAACTTATGACACCACAAAGTCATAATGTGAATTGTAATCGCAATTTTACATTCATGATAGAAAAAAATTGCGCGCCATATTTTTTGTCTCTTAATTTTTCGCCTAATCTACTTTACATTTAAGTGCTTATTGTATGCTAATCGTGACTCTCAGTCAATAACCGGTAGTAGGATCTTACCTTGAAAATTACTCTGTGAAAGGACAAAAGCTTTGAAAGCATGTTACCTATGAAATAGTATGAACTATTTAAAGTATTTTTTTCGCTAAGAATTCTTAGTTCACATAATTTTTATTTTTAAAATAAGAAATTCTTTTCTGTTACAAACAATAAGTTAGCTATTATTGCTAATGAAGGCCGATGGACTATTTTTTGTTTTCTCCCAGGCAGGAGAGCTGTACCCTTAGTACGAACCAATATCGTAATTTTGTATGGAAACTTTAACAGTAGCGCCACAAAGTACATAACGAGAACTAAAAGTCAGTACACATTTGACAGTGACATTTTGGACTCGCAAACGTTACGAATTCGATATTGGTTCGTGCTAGGGGTACCCTTGTGTATGTACATAATTGGTTCTCGTTACGCGATTTGTGGCGTTGCTGTTCAAGTAAATTTAACAATACAAAATTTAACAATGAGTTCGGGCAAACGAGTTTGAGGGTTCCTAGGGGGACGGGGTCATTTCAGGGTCAGTTTAGGAAGACTTCCCAGGAGTGGCCAAAGGGCCTGTCCCTTGGTCTGGCTCTGGGGATTGAGTCCAAGTGGTCAAGTCAAGAGCACCATCTCGGAATGGGAGCCAGGAGCAGCTAGGGGTAGGATTGCGGGTGTCGGGATCGCTTCGGGGTGAGCGTTCCCGGTGGTCAGAGGCACCTGAAGAGTAGAGTATATCAAGGGTCGGGGGCACTTAGATGTATGGTAACCCTGGGTCAGGGTACCTGAAGATGAAAGTTCCTTAGCAAACAGATGAAATTAAGTTAGGTCAGTATTACGGCCGTCGAAGTGCCAGAACGATATATTATGCCATGGGGGATGGAGATTCCCGCATGAGCCCAATTTATATGGTAGAAATGGGTTAGACATTGTTTGTATATGGCACTTTTTCATTTACCTTCATCTTCCTTATCCTACCAGTACCCCGATACTACTACCCGCTAGCCCGACCCCAGTGGCTATCAATTAATATAGTTCACAAGGAAGAAGGTATCAGCTTAAAGAAATGCAAGAAGAGCGCTTCACTTCATCAGAAAAATCATGTCATCTGCGTACGACATATTGTTATTTTCCGACGTCCACACGAACGAAGTTCGACGACGCGGGCACAGCTAGTCATAAAATGTTAGTAGGTTTTCCAGGAAGTTTTAAGAAGGGTTCTGGGATCTGTTTTTCTTATCGCTGGTGTTGCAGGTGTCTATGAGTGACGGTGATCACTACCATCAGGTGAGCCGTCAGCTCGTATGCCCCCAATAATATAAAACAAAATCCTCAAAGAACCTTTAAAGGCCATAAAATCCTTGATAACTAATACATAAACCCCTGTTAATTTTCTATTTAATGAACCGGGTCTGCAGGATATATCCCTTTTTGTTACTCGGGACTTACTGTTTATTGTTACAGTAATTGTATCCTAGTAACTTCCTGCAAGTTTGCACGTGTCCTCTGCGCTCTATTAAGACTTCTTGTACGAAAGAATATTGCCTTTCTCGTCGAATAATAATCTCGCAGATAATATTTTCTAGTAAAATTTTCTTTACATATTAGGCCAGGCAACGAATGCTCAAAAACAAGTATAGAGGGAAATGCTTGGAACACAATTTTTGACTTCGTAATTTTGTTAGGACTAGTTAGGAGATAAACATATCAAAAGTCCCCGCCCGTAGCCCTTAAGCCGGGGGGAAGGGGGGGGATTGAAGGTCAAATTTTTAGGTTTTTCGCATATATCTCGGAAACTATGCATCCTAGCGACATGAAACTTTGACAAAAGTGAAAGCTGATTAAATTTGCTACAAGTCTATTTTTTTCCATAATTACAGACTTTTAAGAGCGGATATCTCGAAAACTATACAAGATATCAAAAAACTTTGATTGAATAAGACTTATTGTAGCAAATTTAATCAGCTTTCACTTTTGTCAAAGTCTCATGTCGCTGGGATGCATAGTTTCCGAGATATATGCGAAAAACCTAAAAATGGGACCTTCAGATACACGACGACCTTTTAGATATTACCAAGCGGTAATATTTGGCCGATTAATTTTAAACCCTAAAATATTCCAAGTATATATAAAAATCAATCGAACAAAACTGTCTTTTGATGATAACAAGATTTCTGTATGCGTTCTGTACCATTAGGCGTCATGCGGGCATGACGCCTAATGGTTGTCATCAATAACAACATACATTTTTTGTAGAAAAATACTAGACTAGGGGCTAGAGTTCATCCCATAATGAATATAAACTACATTAGAATATTTAAAAATTGCCCATGTAGACTAAATACTGCTTTAATTCACTTATAGTTTTAAAAACTTACAGAAACAAAAGAACTAAGTCGGGAATCATAAATAGCTTTTAACAATGTAATACATACAATGAATTAATTCATTGAAATTCCAATGCAATGAACATTGCATAATATACTCGTACGTGGAATGCGGATGCGTTTTAATGAACTACTTAAAAACCTACAATGAATGATAAATATAAGAACAAAACCTTTAATTGTTTAACTCTATGTTTTTTTTTATTTGGTACCTTAGATTTATGCGACTTCGTCTAGGTAGATGAGCATTGCCCAAGCCAACTGTCACTCCCTATTTCACCTAATCTATGTTTGATTTTTGCATACAAATACCAGTACTATCCTAGTTCCATATACCACGATTTCTGATAATCTCATCCCGATTCTGTAAAATAAAGTCTCACTTCCGATTTCGGTAGCTGCCGCATTAATTTGATATGCATTACGCCATTACACGGCAACATGTCGCTATGTCTGTAGAAGCAGCCAGTATTAGATATTTGATAGAAAACTGAATTAATGAGATCGTAAGTGAGATTGCATATTACGGAATATCTATGCTGATAAGAAAACTATGTGGGTTAATTATAAAACCTTCATCTTAACTCGCTCTACCGATTCTGCTGGATTGATTTGGAAAAGTTTTTGGATTTATTTCTCTTCATTTACCATTATCCTTATGTAACATAAAATTATAAAACTTTATTAGATTTTTTGTAAACTTCATGTCTTTAAGAGTTAATTTATTGTTTGGGTGCCAGTCAAATAATGATTTCCTTTCAATCATTATGATCAAACAACACGAGGGGAGCCCGCGGAATCACCTAT